AGGAAAATAAGCCTCAAATATGAGTGTATGTTCCCTGGCAGAAGAAAGTGGAGCTCTCTTTGGGCAATGAGACCCAGTGAGAATCCTGCAATTAGACAAGGCTTGAAGCATCAGAGGTTTTTAGAATATTATGTTGCATTGGAACTCAATTTTTTATCGATCCCCTTTAGGAAAAGACTAATTATTTTTTATTCTCTTGACTGAATTGCCAGCAGTGCGGTTTCTCAGGCCCATTGCTTCCATATATATATATACAGAATCATTGTGCTTCCTGGTGAGTTCATTGTTGCCTTGACACCAGAGAGCCTCGGATTTCTAATTTTCAAATGAAGTCACCAATCGCAACAGTCTTCTCATGTTTACCCCCTTGCAGTGCTTGAGGGGAACTGTGGCAATGTGAGGGGGGAAATGACTGAGTCCAGCTCCTTGTGATGAAACCCACCCTGTATCACTTCTTCCCTAGTGATCCTCAAATGTTCCTGTGCCTGAGAGTCATACAGAGGGCGCTTTAAAAGTTTTCTGGGCTTCCAGACATTCTGACTTAGTGGATCTGGAGTGGGTCTTGTGAGTTCTATCCTAACAAACACACAGTTGATGCCAATTCTGCTGCTCTGAGAATCATACTTTGAGAACCACTGCCTATACCACAATAGGCAATGGAACAGAACCCCAAGTACTAATACACATGTATTTGTTTACGCAAGCTGCCATAACAAGTACCACAGGTTGGGTGGCTTACACAACAGAAGGTCATTGTCTCATAGTTCTGCAGACTGGTTGGTTTCTTTAGAGGCCTCTCTCCTTGCCTAGTATTGCCACTTCTCCTTGTGTCTTCACATGGTCTTCCCTTTGTGTGTGCCTGTGTCCTATTTTCTTCTTAAAAGGACACCAGTCATATTAGACTGAGGCCCACTCATGTGACCACATTTGAACTTAATTATCTCATTAAGATTCCAAATATGGTCATATTCTGGAGCACTAGGAATTAGGGCCGCAACAGATGGATTTGCCTCTAACAACATCTCTCTGCGGTTTCAGTTCCATGAAAACTGAACCTCCGTCACAAATAGTTGTAAGAAGGGGCAGCATTCCAAGGAGCCTGCAGGTGGTCTCTGAAAATTCTAGAGGGCCTTATGGAAAGCTGAGAAGGGTGAAGGCAGAAGCAGATGTGGCCAGGGAGATGTCTGAGCAGTGAGACAGGAAGGCTTGGCTTCCTGCAGAACACCCATATGGTCATGGACAGCTCTGGTGCCCCCAGCCTGACTCTTCTAAGGGCCTTCCTTCCTGCCAGCCTGCACGCTGTCAGCTTCATTCACTTGATTCATGTTTACTCAGGGCCCATCCCATGCCAGGCCATATCTAGGAGCTGAGGCTGCAGCGGTGAACATAGTACTTCTGTCCTCCTGGAGGGAGGGAACCTGAGAAGCCCCAGTCTCTGAGAAAACACACCCAAGACAAAGACGCAAACATGTACTTTGATGCTAAGTCCCCTCTCCCTGCCTTAGAATCTTCGAAACTTGTATTTTATTTATTTATTTATTTGTTTATTTATTTATTTATTTATTAAGATTTTATTTAGTCATAAGAGACATACACAGAGAGAGGCAGAGACACAGGCAGAGGGAGAAGCAGGTTCCCTGCAGTGAGCCCAATGTGGGACTCAATCCCAGGACCCCAGGATCATGCCCTGAGCCAAAAGCACACATCCAACCACTGAGCCACCCAGAAGCCCCTGAACCTTTTATTTACAGCAGGAGTTAAAGCCATTTAGTAAGGGTTCTCTTTGAAAATCCAGTGAAATACATAAAAGGGTTACCCAGAAAAAATACCTATGAATCTATGAGGGCAATTTTATGTATAGCTTTAGGGATTTTACAGGTTTTCGGAAGTCTTCCATGAACTCAGGCAGGGACTTCTCTTTATGGTAATAATAAGGATAGTTGGAGCTGCAAGTTTTGAACTTACTTACTAGGCAGTCTGCTAAAGCCATTATGTGCATTATTTCATTTAATCCTCACAAGATAACTGTACATAACTATTATTATCCTGTCAGCTTATTGAAGATGAAGATATCAAGGCTCTAATAAAAAAGAGCAGTATCAAAGTATGATTCAGGAATCCTAGTCATGGTCACATTTGGCCTCTGTCTTTTCCTTTCATTTTGAAATGCTTAAAGGTTTACAGAAGAGTGGTAAAGATAGTACAGATACTTTTCCTATGCCCTTTACCCAGCTTCCCTAGTTGCTAATGTCACATAACAAGGCTAGATTCATCAGAACAACAAAAATGATACTGATCAGCTTAATTAAAGAGAAGGCAAGAAAGAATGCCAGATAAGCAGATGCAGAACAACAAGCACAGCTGTCTTCGTTTGCTGGCAAAAATATCCCATTCAATTGAATTGTCCATGAAGTTTCAGTGAATGATATCAGGGTATTTGGGATTCACTGTGACGATTATATAATATCAAGAAAAGCCTAATGAGATTCACTATTTTCCTTAGGAATCAGTAAAAGTTATCAGAACTTTCTCTTCTGATAGTACTATTTGGTAGCTCATGATAGCAAGAGACCTAGAAGTATCTAGAGAAATAGAATATCAGAGAAACTGCAAAGTGTAGTCAAAAGTGCAGGCTCTGAAACAAGGCTGCCTGGCTTTGGGTTTCTTGATTCTGTAACTTTGTGACTCTATTTTCTCATCTATAAAATGAGAAGAACAATGGCCGATTTCAAACTCTGATTGAGATTAACTGAGTTAATATTGGATTTCTAATAAGTCCAATGGGATAAACCTTGAATGGGTGACCAAAATGTCTCACTGGTCCCTTTTTCATTGGTTTACCCCCTCCCTTTCTTTTTCTTCATACCCCTCCTTCCATCATCCCACAATCCACCCCCAACCCCAAACAATCCCCAGCTCTAGGGGATTCATCAGCATGGAATCTAGGGACAGGACTCTCCTTTGTTTATGGATTTTCTCTTAGAATAACTTCAATATGTTATTAAAGTAAAAGGAACTGTTTTCTTCAAATAATGATGTAGTACAATGAAGGACATAATGAGTGACCTTTCCACTGTATCCTTCTACCATATTTTTTTGAGCTTTACAACCACGGAGTTCCACTCTGTCTCACAATAGTTACTAGACAGAGCTGAGTAGAAAAAAATTATTACATTAGAGCATTCTCAATGTTAGACAAGATCTAGCCACATGGGAAACATAAGCAGAGGCAATGCTCTGTCTTCAGCATGTTCTTATCCTAAATGCAGCATCTGGGGTTTGCAAGCTTGGATTCTAAGGCTTCCAGGTTCAGGTGTGTGGGTAGTGGCTTACTCTTTTCTGGTGTGGCAGAAGGAAGAGTGCCAGCGTCCCTCAAAAAAGGGTAATATCAATTCTCTCCATCTTCTTGCCCAATTACTACTTTCCCACTTAGGAAAGGATGAAACTCCTCCTGGTTATGCTTCTGGTAACAGCCATGAAGGATCTGAGATTTTGCTCCACTTGCAAACCAACTAGTTATCCTGCTACAGTTTTATGGATTTTGGGAGAAGACACAAGACTCCTAGGTCAGAGACCAAGGATGTTATTACTTATGGCACAGCAAACAGCATGAGTTTCATGTTCTTGTTCACATTGCTTCCTCTTGCCTCCAGGTCCCATGTGGGTAACGTGTTGATGGGCCCAGGTAGATGCAGCACATGAAATGCGTTTGTCTTAGCTGAAGGACACCAAGCTTAGTAAGCCTCCAATCTTAAAAGGAGGCTTCTAGCAAATGTGTCCAACCTGGAGGAGACATTATCTTTATTATCCTGGTCAGGAAACATATATTCTCTCTTCCTTGGAAAAAATACACTATTACCATCTTAGAAACATGTTTGCCATACGTAGTTTGGAAGATAGTTTAGAAGTAAGTTTTCGATGCTTCTTCACAAGATGTGGCAGAAATGGAAGACACCCAGAGAGTTATCCAAGATCCTATTGACTAACCAGGGATGACGATGGTTATAGACTTTGGGTTGTAGTTGATTGCCTCCACGAGGAAAAACTCTCTAGAGGGTTGTAGTGAGATGTGTCTCAACATGAGGAGAAAAATAAGCATGTCCAGAAGTTCTTACTTCTTAGGCCTAATATTGAGAACCATTGGATTCATACTGAGTATCTAAAGCCTCTTGAACTTGGGGCAGGGTGTATGAATCAGTATGAGTTCACCTGTTCAGTGTCCTTTAAATCCATACACCACAATGGGAGAGGCACACTGACTCTAAAATTTGGCTCAAATGTGGTACAAAAAGGTCTTTGAATTGAGCTCTGAAATTATAGCTTTCTGACAGAATGATTCATCTAGAACAATTTCTTAACCTTTTTAAAATTATTGCTCCCACAGGAGTTTTTGTTGATTATCTTTTTTCCTAATTGCCTCTCCTCCATAAATACCATAGATACAGTATATCGGTTTATGTCCTTTCCATAAACAATTGCAATATCGAAGCTTTCTTGTGGATTGAAGAACCAATTTTCACCTTCTTCTGGGGTTGATATTACTCACATTGAGAATGCATAGTCTAGAAAATTCTTGTATCTGTTAGGAAACTATTAGTCTGGATCCTCTGAGAGGTAGATGCCAAGACAAATTAAACATGCAAGAATTTTAGGTGAAATATGGTATGAAAGTATATGTAGGAAGGGAGCCAGATAACAGATCACAGAAGTCCCATTGGACTGTGGTAGTTGAATGTGGAAGCAATTATCAGTAACAGATGATTGGTATTTGTAAATACCCAATACTTGCTGTCCAGCACTTCTTGGCATACCGCGCCCTCTTTTCATATTAGGTACCACTAACCTGATGGAGAAGGGGCTGAATTCCCTTCTGATGGAAGGAGCAGAAACAGAATAAAACCAAGAATTTCTGGAATCAGCTGGTTCTCACATGTTCCTGACTGCACTTGAACTTCTGATTTTTCTCTACAATCATCTACCAGCAGTGCTATCTTACTCACTGGAAGTAGAAGATGAGGCTTTCCTTGACCAAGGAGAGTCCATGAATATGCCTAGACATTCACTCTTTATTCTTGAAAGGAGAAACTTGTAAATCTGCTCCATCATGACTTCTGCTTCTTCTCTCAATCCAGGCACATGCTATTGGTTTCTCTGTTGGCAGCTTCATGTTCTTCCCTTTCACCTGAGTCAATTGAAATAACAAGGTGAATCCTTTCAGACCTCTCGAAATGCATAAGGTTTGTCAGCAGAGCTGGGCTTTATGAGATTTCCACCAGCACTTTTGTAATTCTCATGGAACTCCACCTAATGACATCCCTCTTCTTTTCAATGTCATATGTAAAAATAATTCTAACCTCATCAAAAACTGGGAGTCCTTTCATCCTTTTTCTGCCAGGTGGTCAATAATTTAGCACATGCTTCCTCAGCAGTTTCTAATCTGCCAAAAAGTTGCTCCAGAGCAAGCAGTTTCATGACTTTTACTCCATGTACCACCTCTAAACTCTCCACAATTCCCTGAAATTCCTAACCTCAAAGACATTTTTATTCCTTCCACAGTTCCCTGTTATATTTAAATCTTAGCTCAAATTCCTTATCCACTGGGACCTACAGTATCTCCCCTCAACCCTCTCTCTTCCTATTCCAGATTCATAAGCTTTATTTTGGGTCTTGGGTATTTCAGGCACAGTATGCATGGCCTGTCCTATTTTTGTCAGCCCAATATCCTGAAGAAGACACTTCTGGATCTGATGTGGGTTGAGATTTTCTCCCTGGACTTAGAATATCACTGATGGATATTCTACTTTCTGAAGTAATACAAACTAAAAACTAATTCTTTGTAGGATATTTACCATCTGTCAGCATAAGTTTGAAGATGCTATTCATCTCTTCTGCCCAAGGTCTGTGTGGGAAAGAGATATAGAGAATGAAGGGGACAGAGAACTGTGTTCTGCTGTATTAACTTTGTCCCTGGCCAAGCCTGGAAATCTACCTGTGAACAAAGAGGGAGATGTTTCTACATTGTATTTTCATAGGACATAAAGGAGTCATGTTTCTAAAGCAGTCCTGAATTAGAAACTGGGACAGAATGACTTGCTTCCTAGAAGGGAAAGGGTGTTCTCTTGTATTGATTTATCTAAAGGAGTCAAAATTTCCAAGTATTCCAGCCCAAGGGAACCTCTGGGCTTGTATGGCTGAAAGATGAAGTTACAAACACCACTTTGTACAAAATTCTCTTGCTCATAAATTGAAGTTCAGCAGCAGGAAATGTTCTATCATTGTACGAATTAGAAATGCATTAAACAACATAAAACAAAATTTGACTAACAGTGGCTCAAATCATATATATGAGCCACTGATATGTGTGTGTGTATATATATATATATGTTATACTTAATAATAAATCTATAAGCAATTGATTTTTAGGTTGACACAGCAGGTCTAACCTAGACCTGGTGGATATGTATGAGATTTTCTTAGTATTCCCTTTATGTTACCAAATGGCTAGTTCAGCCCCAGATATTAGCTCTTTGTATAACTGTGCCCCAGTGTAGGACTTAGGAGGATGGCAAGGGCAGAGAGAGAGGAAGAGGGAGAGAGAGGAAGAAGTAAGAGAACAATTAAGACAGAGTCCTGGCAGCCCGGGTGGCTCAGCGGTTTAGCGTCACCTTCAGCCCAGGGCGTGATCCTGGAAACCAGGGACTGAGTCCCACGTCAGACTCCCTGCATGGAGCCTGCTTCTCCCTCTGCCTATGTCTCTGCCTTTCTCTCTCTCTCTCTCTCCTCTCTGTGTTTCTCATGAATAAATAAATAAAATCTTTAAAAAAAAAAAGAGTCCTTCTTGCAACCCTCTTATACATTATCAACCAGAAGCTCCCCAGCAGCCATCACCTTACATCTCACCGGTCTGAATCGACCCAATACTACCCCTCAATCAACTATTGACAGAAGGTATAGGGTGCTTGACTAAGAATGGCCACAATTTATCTCTTGAGACCTCGTGCATTGCCAGCTGAGTAAAACTGAGCATTGTTGGCAAAGAAGAAATGGAGTCAAATAACAGAGCTGTGACGATAAAGGCAGAGCTGATAATAGTCAGCTGGTGCATAATGCTGTGTATTTTTTTTTTTTTGGCAGTGAAATCTCTTACATTCTTTTCAATATTTTGAAAATTGCATCTAAATTAAAGGACTTTGGGGATTATCCATTCCAAATGTTTGTATGCCCTTCCAAAAGAAAATCATTGCAGTGCTCTCAATTATACTATGTATCATACTATAGAGAAACAAAATCATAATAAGCTGTGTGGACATCAGAATGGAATCTTCACCTTCGTTTTCCAGCATCTTTTACTATGTTTGGCCCTTAAAGACACTCAGAAAGTGTTTTCTGCCTGAAGTAATGGAATAAACCCTCATTGAATAGGTGAGTAAACTTAGGCCCATAGAAGAGAAATGACAAGTGCAAGGTCATTCAATTAGTTATTCCCAGAGCCAGAACCACAACTTGGTTCTTCTGCCTTGTGCTTTGACTTTAGTTTCCTCATTTTCACATGCTACTTGTTCAAAGGAGGTGTCTAAGGATTTTCTTGTCTAGCCTAAAAATCAATTGTTCAGAAAATACTAAGAAGGCACAGCCATAAAAGAGTCTCTCACCTAAGATCACATGTGGAATCAGGAGAGAATAAAAATCATGACTTAGAAGATAGAAATGCACCTAGGAAACCAAAACCTGTAGGTGGAACTTACCTTGAAAGTAAGAGAAATGTTTCTCTTCTTAGGTGAAGAGCTCTGTCCCAAGTCTCACCCGAGCTTGGCTGCACTTCCCAGGAAGACCTGAGTGGCACCTCTTGGCCAGCCTCCTGACTTTCAGCTGACCCTCTGGTTTGATATTTTTAAATCATTTCCCTGAAATGTATGAACTATCTTTGGATTTTCCTAAGCCACAGTGTAGTGGATGTGAGATGAGAATGGATGGAGAATGATTCTTCAACAGTCCTGTGTCTTGTCCAAACCAACCCCTACTGGCAGAATGGCATTTATGCTATGAGACCACAGATGATTAGCACATTAAACAGCCACAACCTATAATAGGAGACAGTTTATTGGAGTAGATTTTATATTGTGATTTGTTTTCCTGATTACCTAGAGAGAGTAGAAAACAACCCCCTTTTACCACCTTGTAGAGACACTAATAAGCTTTCATCTATGGGTAGAAGGCTTTGTTAAGACACCCTTCTCCCTGTCTCCACCACATTCTACTTCTCTACCCCTTGGAACAGGTTGTCTTTTATGTGACCCCAAGACTAGGTTGCCCAGAGGAATGGCCTTGCCAGAGAGTCAGTGTTAGAGAGCTGTTGTTGGAGTCAGGGTGTGGGATCGAATTTAGACTCTCTGTGGGTCAATTTATAGAGAAGGTTGATGACTCAAGTCTTAGGTTTAGCTTCATAACTGAATAATGAACTATATGATGCATTCAACCCTCATTTCAAATGATGGCTTGGCTAGTTAAAATCATATTGTAAGTGAGCCAGCCCCATCAGCTAATATCCTGCTCACAGCTGAATTTTTATGCACTCAGAGAACTGCTGTATCCCCTACCTTTTCCCAAGCATCTAATGTACAATCTGTGCCTTCTTCCTGTTCTCCTCTGGGCTATCTTTCTTTTCCCTCTTTGGGTGCCCAAACGCCAGCATTTGCAAGGTACATATGGCACCAAGTGTTTACTCCCTGTGCTTCCTGTGTGCTAAGCATTCCTTAGAGTGAGTGGCTCCAGGATTTTCCTTCCAAGGGGTGATGACAATGACTTAACACAGAAGTCTTGGGCTCTAGAAAAAAATATTAGGTCCCTTCAGACACCCTTCTTGCCCTCCCTGAGGCACTAAGCTATGAGAGACTTGACAAGAAGATGCTACTCATGCCTCATCAGCACAGACTAAAAAACAAAAACAAAACAAAAAAACAGGAAAAAATTCCAATGGGTTCAGGTGAGTACTGTCAAACTATTAATGATGAACAGATGCTTTCAAGGCACTAGAGTCACAATCTGAGAGTGTCAGCCCAGTGTGTCAGCAAGCTGCAGCTGGGATAGCATGGACCCCTCAGTCCCAGGAAGGGCCTCATGTGCACAGGCCAGTTTGGGGGTGTCAGGGAGCACAGCCGACAGCTGGGTAAAAGTATAGTGCCTGTGTCTGAGCGGCTCTCCTTCCTATACCCATTTGGCACCTGTTAGAAATTATTTTTAAAAATGGATATCCCAGAGAACATAGAAAACCTGAACAGAACAATCATTATGGAGCAAAACTGCCAGAGCTATACACTACCAGCTTGCGTCAGTCCCCTCAGGCCCAAACTGTTTCATAGGCCAATTCTTTCACACCTTTAAGGAACAAGTAATTCCTGTACTATTGATGCTATTGCAGTATATGGAGAAAAAGGAAATCTTCCAAACCAATTTTATAGACTCAGCATAGTATTGATATTAAACCCAATAAAGTATGTTTAAAACACACACACATGCACACACACACACACACACACTACACCAATCTACCTTATGACTATGCATTTAGCATAAAAATCCAAAATTCTAAAATAAAATGCTAGTAAATAGAATCAAGTATCATATTATAAGATTAATATATTACATCAAGGGATGTCAAGGTTTGAATATTATAAAATTTATCAATATTATTCCCCATGTCAATACATTATTTTTAGCATATTATGATGGGAACAGATGAAGATCAGGAGAGAAACCTGAAAGAGTCCTGCACTTTTGTTACTGACAGTCCACTGAGGAAACACAGCACACTCGCCAGGCCACTGGAGAGAAACCCCGGGTAGGTCACAAGGCCCAGAAGGGGACATCTCTATTGTGGTTTCTGCAAGAAAGAACAGGCAATGCTGGATAGGCAGATTTTGGGGGCGGGCTACTTGAATGATCTGAGCTGGCTCTGGGGCATAGGGACTGTGCCTGGGTGTCTGATGCCTGGCCCTGGGGTGACAGGACCATATATTAGGGCCATGTTAGGACCCAGAGTGGAAAAACCCCTGTGAGGAAGGTGGTGGTGATGTGCACTTAATTAGCTGCTCAAGAAGGGGAGCCAAAGGTCCTCTGGGGAGGCCTTAAAACTGAGTCAAGAAGCACTTACATATTATGTAAGCAAAATGAATAATAACATAA